TCTTTTGGAAGGACAGACTGGCAAGACAAAATGAAGGTGTTGTCTTCTTTTGTGAAAGCAGCTGGAACACATGAAGCTCTGCCTGGTGGTGGGTTAGGATTAAGAGGAAGACTGCTAAGGATGATACAGTAGTGGCAGCTTGCTGTAGGTTGATTGGAAGAACAAGCAGGCCCCATACCAAGTGTTAGAAATAGCCTCGCGTTTGCGGGGCCTAGGCCTTGAGGGGAACTGCACCCACCCAATTCCCTGGGTGGCATCAGTGACAATCCCCTGCCTCAAGAGAAAGGGGGGGTGGTGAGAAAAGCTGCTCTGGATTTCATAATCATAAATAATGTGGGAATGTGGAGGCTCAGGAAGCCTTGGCTGTGGCATCTGTGAGATGGTGGAGTTCAGGATCCTGAGGGCAGAGGGAGGGGTGAAGGACTAACTTGTTGGACTTCAGGAGAGAAGACTTAGACCTCTTCAAGGATCTGTTTGAAAGAGACATAAATCATTTGGTTTGAAAGAGACCGCTGGCTCACCATACCTGTCCCAGCAGGGGCCTCAGAGCTGGGTGCCCAGGCCCACGTCCTGGCTTTTGAAAGTCTCCAATGAAGAGACTCCACGACCTCTCTAGTCAGCCTGTGCCAGTGCTCCATCACCCACATGGCAGAGAAGTGCTCCCTGATGGTCAGAGGGCACCTCCTCTGCTCCACTTTGTGTCCAGTGCCTCTTGTCCTGGCACTGGGTACCATGGTAAAGAGCCTGGCTCTTTCTTCTCTGTACCTTCCATAGGTATTTATGGATGAGACTCCCCTGAGCCTCCTCTTCCAGGCTGAAGTCGCAGCTCACTCAGCCACTCCTCACAGCAGAAGTGCTCCATGCCTTTCATCATCCTGATAGGGAAGAGTGCATCTAGCTTCTGGAGGGAGGGCTGAAGTCTTGCTGCTGGTATTAGCAACTACTTAACCGGTCATATATGAAGAAAGTTGGTGAAAAAGCGAAGTAATTGATAAAGATGCTAGCAGAAGTGACGTTTGGACAGCTGTGATACTATCTTTGATAGGATGTGAGGTGTAAGGAAGTGCAGGGTGAGAAAAAAGAAGCGGAGCTTAGAGACTGATGGGCATCGCTGCTGAATTATGGCTGAGGTTGTAAGGAGAGAAGACGATAGACTGAGAAAGTTGAGTATTGAGTTTATTTGATGCAGCATTGTGTTATATATGACATACTTAGGCTTGGACTTGATGCATGTTCCCTTACTAAAACTTGACTCGTTCTAGGTGTCAGTTTGGGTCTAGATCTTTCTTTTAACTAAGTTTCTATTATATATATATATTTTTCTTTTTCATCTGTAAGTTGAACATGCTAGTGAAATGATACATAGTTATTTAGAGAGAGCCTTGGGAAGGGATATATAGCTTAGCTATCATGAAGCCCACAGAAGAAATTCTCTGCTGGCTCCTGCTGCTCACTTGGTTATCAAAATAATCCAAGCCAAAATAGCTATGCAGGTATCTGGCTTGATTGGCTGTAGGGTGGGCCAACAAAGAGTTGTGCCAGTGGATGTTGAGCAGGAGGTGCAGAGCTGGTGTGCTGGGGCTGCACGTTGCTGAATGCTGTGCTGCCAGAGCTGTGTCACCCAGCTCCACACCAAACGTGCTGGAGGGTGCAGGCTGCTGGTCCTCATCCCTTAGTGAGGCACTAAGGGAAAGCTAGTGCAGAGTTCAAGGTGAGCTTTTGAAGTAGTAACTCCTTGCTGATTTTCTTTAGAGCAGAAGCATCCTGTTAATCTCCATTGCAGTGCTGTAATTGGGATGCCTCGGGTGCCTCTTCTGTATTAAAGAGAAAAATAAAAGCTTGCAAAAGGCTGGGTGTAGGAAGGGCTGGAACTTGGGGAGAGGGGCGGGTTCCTCTGGTGGGGGATTTTGATTTGAATATATAAAGAACAAGGGCTCTTCAAAACATTTGCATTCCAAAAATATCACTTCTGTTTCCCTCTTGTTTCACTCTGAGTCCTCTTTTTTCTTTTTCTTTTTTTTTCTAAATTTTTTTACTTTTTTTTGTTAGCCTCCTGCAGATTTTCCCCTTCTGTAGTCCAGCTTCCATGCCTTACTGTCAGCACAGCTCCATGTTCTCTGCTGCAGCTCTGCGGTGGTTGTGTCAAGGAGGACTTCTGTGGTCTGGGGACATCTCTTCAATGTGAATTTTGTCAACATCCCTTAACTCTCTATAGCAGTGCAGAGGATTTAGAACTAGTGTAAATCATCTCTGCTTGCACTGAAGCTGGTTCCATTTCAGTTTGCATCAGCAGCAAGTGAAAGCAAAGGGTTTTGTGCCCCAGGTTCAGCTTCCAGTGGGTGCTAATGGGGACCCTGCCCCTAGCTGGGTGTAAGCTTCAGCTGAGCGAGAAAATTGGCTCTGGGCATTTCATAGTGATGGCTGCATGTGAGAAGGGAGATTGCTCTGACTTTCTGCTCTAGCGTGCTGTGCACAGCTGGGCTGGAAGGGAGCACACTCGTAAGTGGATCTGCTGTGGCTCAGAGTCCTTTCTGCAATTGTTTTAGGGCAGCAGCAGGTCAGTGGTGTTGCCTCTTTGCAGGCATTTTCCTGAGCAAAACTGGGCCTAAACTCCAGACTGTGATTCACAAACACCTCTGTGGCTCTGGGGTTGTGCTTTCCACGCCAGAAGGGTTGGGCTGACGCAGCTTTCTGTGCTTCACTTTGCTTCAGCTGCTGTTGGTTTTGTTTGCTTTTTTTTTCCCTTCTGAAGATGCTAATAAATAGAAATGGGAATAAAATGAAGTGTTCTGAAGTGGCAGAGCTTCTGAGTGTTTTCCTGTCTGTGTGAATGTGACTTCTGGAAGAAGAAAAGCCTGAGTGCTGTGTGGCAAGCAAACTGGAGCTATATAAAACTTGCAGCAAATAACTCTTGATTAAAGCGTAGGTTATGGGAGCATGTGAGAAACACAGACGTTACACAATTCAAATCATATCCTGGTAACATGCTTTAGAAATAACTGACTAATGAATGTCTCAAATTGCTGCCAGACTTCTTTGAAGAGTCATAGAAAACTCAGAGATAAAAATGTGACATCTGGAACCAAGTTACAACTTCTACAAAGCAGGAGTGTTGTAAAAGGAGAAAAAGCCGCTCAGTCTACAAGATGATGATGTTGTTTTGGTGTTTTTTTAAATTTTATTAATTTCTGACATCAGATTTGTTTGATGTGATTGCTGCTGAGCACTGTGCTCGCAGAAGCACGGTATCTGTTCCTTGTGGTGGCAGTGCTCAGTGAGCAGGCTGTCGCTTGGTGCGTGCCATGAAGGCTGCTCTTTCCTGTGTGCATCACTTGGATTCCTTAGACAAGTAAATACAACCTGCTGTCATACTGCTCGGCCACTTCTTCATGCAGTTCTTAGTAGCCAGCCCCTACTTGTAATACAGAGGCTCAGTGTTCTATGCCCCTGTAGAGCGCTGTGTTGGGGCAGGTGTTTTGCCAGCTGCACCCACAGATGTAGTGCATTAATTGCACCTTATCCTCCCTGTATCTTGATTTTTATTCCCATATTGTGTGGTTCTTGCAGAGCCTGAAGAAATTAACAGTTGCTGTTGATGTCCCTTGCTAGCTAAAATCAAAATGTAACCAGTCTCGATGAGGCAGTTTTTTTCTGGTGAGAAAGTATTTCTTGCTTTGCTACAGGGGCAAAAGTGCCTTCTCCTCCTGTTTGTGCTGAGTCTGCTTTAAATAGTGGGAGGGATCAAAGTTGAGAAGTCCTCTTCTAACCATGCCAAAAAGCTTCATTTCCCAGCACAAATCAGCTAGGAAAAAATGCCATAAAAGACAATGACAGCTCAGACTGCCCTGAACATTAATTCTTACTTGTAGCTCACCCTTTAACTGCTGACCAAAGCATTCTCAAAATATTCCTTGCCTAGAGGTCCTGGGGACGCTTTAATTTCTTATTTATGGGTTCACGTGATGGCTCGGTGTTGCTGCAGTTCCTTTTGGAACCAGGGGCTCCTCCAGCATTTGGGAAGGGCTGATGTCCTGCCATCGAGGTGTGCATGGGTGTCCTGCAGCAGTTCCTTCTTGATAATTTTTTCTCTCCTACGGAGACCTTTCCTGCTTCAGATTCAATCTGCAACACCTCAGACTGTGGCTTTTGGATTGCTTGGCAAGTTCTGAAGTTTCCTCCTTCTCTGGAGCCTAATTTCTTAATCTGTCCTCTGCTCACAGTAAACCATCTTGGACTTGTTCTAGCTTTGTGTTTTATTATAAAGGGTGTTTTCTGTTACTTGCAGTATATTGCACAGTGCAGAAGAAATTGCGCAGTTCAGTTTCATGCTTTGATAACCCATCGTTAGCTGCCTGCTGCAGCTTGTTCTTATGGTCGTGTTAGGAGCAGTGGAGTGATCTTGCGTGGATTTAATGATGACAGAGGAGAGTTTTAGCTCCTAGAGGTATCTGCTACAGCTATTCATGTGCGTACTGATGTGGTGCTAAATTTTATATATCAAGTAAACGAAGCTTCTGCAAATCTGTCCTCCTGTTAAGTGTGGCCCTTCCAACAACGAGGAGAAAAAAAAGGACACTGAAATGGAGAAAAAACATCTTTGCATCATTTGGAATGCCAGATTATCAAGAATGTCTCACTGCACATCGCTGCACATGTGGCTTGTGTTCCTCAGAAGCTGAGATTCAATCTGGCTTGGAGAAATATTGTGAAAGGCAGAAATGTGGTTTTGGGGAGAAGGCTGCCATCTGTCAGCTCTGTGCTGAGTTCAGCAGTGTGTGTTTTGAGTTATAAGACAGGGAGGTTCTTCTGACTTGTGGTGATTTTGATGCAGTCTGGGGGTACTTTCCATCTCAAATGTCTCATTGCTGGAATGAAAGCGGTGACTGCAAAGAGCAGGTGGGTAAGAGAAGCAGCTGGGTGCCCTTCTAAACCCAAAAGATTCCTGGGTTGGGAAGAGTCAAATAGAGAGTAACTAATTAATGCAACCTTTCTTCCATCAGACGTGTCAGGTGTGCCAGATGATGCTGCCCAACCAGTGCAGCTACTGTGCCCACCAGAGGATCCACGCTCACAAGTCGCCGTACTGCTGCCCCGAGTGCGGGGCTGTGTGTCGCTCCGCCTATTTCCAAACCCACGTCAAAGAGAACTGCCTGCATTACTCCCGCAAAGTCGGCTTCAGGTTTGTTGAGTTTAATGCTGAAGGGGCAGGAGGGAGTGGGAAACTGGATATAGGTTTTGGAAATCTTCCTTAAAGCAGAAACTGAGGAGGATGTAACACAGAACCGGCATGGTTTTCTGTGGGATGAAGTGCGTTTGAAATGGGAAATGACTAAGTGAATTTAAGGGGAGGTTTCGGAGAGCAGAAATGATTTTGAGGCAGCTTTAAGCTGAAAGGTGCTGGCATTACCTCCGGGTCGCAGGTGGTCCCCTCAAGATTGCTGTTTACAACCAAAAGATAGCAGATCTTAATCCTCCACATCTCTCTGAGGACTGAGCGTATGTCAGTTGTCACGGACCGAGGGATGCCTTTGTAGGTTATTTTATCTCCAAGCTCTTATTATGAGCTGAGAGGAATGGGGGAAGGCTCCCGAGGCTCTGGATGTGGCGGTATGTGCGCTTGCGTTGTCATTGCTGCAGCCAAATTGATTGCTTTAATAAAAGACATTACGTTCCCCACAAGCTTTTCCTGCTTTCTGTGTGTAGATGCAGATGATTTACCTGGGAGATGAGTGATGGACTAGGTGACCTTTTAGGATTCCTTAGAATTCAGCTTTTTCTCTGTTTGCCATTAAGTACCACAACGTGTACAGGAAACAGGGCGATTTCTGTGCTTGGAGCTGTTCTTTTAAAATGTCTGCCAATTGAGGAAGCCTGCACTGTGTGACTTCTGAAATCACACTGAAGTTTTCAAGGGCAGTTTCTTTCAATCACAGAGAAAAGAGACATATCCAACTGATTCTGAATTTAATTATATACAGATAGATTTTTTTTTTTTTTATGTGGATCTGATTAGAGGAGGTATAGCCCACAACAAAGGATTAATTCCATTTCAAATTAAATGGCTGTGATACTGTGGCTGTTTGAAAAAGGAATTAATTTTGGAGAAGGAGGAATGTTGAAAAAAAGGATGGGAAAAAATGTCAGAAAACAAGCCCTGGCTTTGATGCAGTTGCTTGTGCTTTGCAGCATTGGTCCTTACTCTTCTGCTTGTAGCTGATGGGCTCTCAGTCTACAGCAGAGGTTGGTCCTGCTTCTTAAGTGTGTGCCCTCGCATTTTTTTAAAGCATGATTAATTCCAGATTTATAATATCTTTATGATGCCCCCTTAATCCTTATCAGCAATGCCAGCTTCCATCCATCCACAGATGTCTAACAAATATTTGCTTTTTGTGCTGGGAGCATTAATGAATGTCTGAAACAAGGCAGAGTTCAGGAATGGTATGTATAGGGGGTTTACTAGCTTTTACCAGCTTCTCTGAAAGTTACGTTTCTCTTCTTTAATTTGCATATGCTGGTGCTCATCTTTGGCAACTGAACCCACCCGATAGGGAAGCACTGGCTGTGCCATCCCTGTCATTCTTCCTGTCTCCACTGCCAGACTGGCATTGTTGCAGTCTTGAAAACAGAAGAAATAAATTCAAATTGTAGAACCAAATCTAGATAATCCATGGCATCTGTCTTATGGTCACGTAGCAACTTTTGTTCTTTCCTTTCCTTTTCATTACTTGCAGAACTGAAAAGCCAAGGGTTTCTTTGAAATCCTGCCCAGGGTCAGCTCAACTCTTGCTTCTCCGCAATATGTCTCTGCTTTCCTTGAATTTCTGATGCATACATTTTGCTGTTTTTCTGATCAGCCCTTGTTCTGTCTCCTTTTCTGCTGATATCCCAGCGTGTCCAATTAAGTTTGGAGTAGGATTATTTGAATTCAGGTTTGGGTCATGGCTAGTGATTGCATTGCAGATGAGAAGGGTCTTCTGCATTTTAACATGAAAATTAACAAGCCTGCCCAAAGTGCTGCCAGCTCTAAGTGTCACCTCCCCACCTTTCCCACTGGTCCCCACTGACCACGTGGCACACATCTTCCTGCTTGCTGCTGTTTGGGGAGTTCAGGAGCTGGATGCTGGCAGAATAAGAGATAGCAGAGGGTTAAGACAACATCATGTAGCCTTATCTTCTCTCACAGGATTATTTCCGAGACTTACACAGCACCCTTCCTTGCCCTGAGGCTATCCTAGAGTCTTCTCCTGCAAATTATCCCCTCATGCTTGGATTGTAGCAGAATTTGCAATTTACAGAAATTACATGGCAAGCCTCTGACATCCTCCATCCATTTTGCTCTGCTAATTAGTTTACTTTATTGAAGTTCATCTTTCTGGCACAGAGATTCTTGATTACAAAGTGGCCTTTGTTTAAACTTCCGTTTACTGTAAATTAAATTAACTTGTGATTGTTTGACCCTGAGTTAGTAATTATTTTATCCCCTAAATCTTTATGAAGTCTTTAGTGCCAAAATGGAGTGCAATGCAGAGCTGTCTCTTGTTGATTTGAGAAGTGTTTCTGGGGGAAGCCTGTTGAGTATTCCTGGTTGTACCATCTGTACCTTCCTGCCAGGATTAGGACTTTCTCTCCCATTTGTTCTTCCTGCCAACAGAGTTCCTGGTGCTACCCTAATGAAAGTCTCTCTCCCCAGCTGACATGGCTGAGGATTGGGCTCCAAGGCACAGCAGAATGTTTTCATGTTTTCTGAAGGATGACACTGGCTGTTGTCACTTTTTACCTCTTGAAAATGAAGAAAGGAGCGTTTCTGTGCGTGTTTTGGGGGAGAGGGCTTGTCTCCTTTGGGCTGGCTTCTGCTTAATGAGCTTTTGAAGTACAACTTCAAAGTGCAGACTTGTTTCCTAAGCGCTGTCGGGAGGCTCGTTTGGAGGGAAGGATAATCTAGCAAACATCAGAACGAAGGGAAAAACAGTCATAAAGCTTAACTCCAGCCTCACTGAGGGAAACCATCTCTATTCACAGCTATTCCAATCCCAGGCCAGAGGAGTGCTGGTAAGGAAATGGAGCCTCATTTGCTCTCTCCACACTGGTGTGTGGCTTCCCATGAGCTCAGCTGTTGGATGTGTGCTTGGGAGAAGTATTCAAGTTAAATGTAGGACGGCCTCAGTCAGATGTTGCTATCTTGGGAGAGGCCTGTTGGGAAGAGAGGGAGCAGCTGGGTCACCCAGGCTTTGTTTGGAGCTGCAGGGAGGAATCCTTTAGCTACACCTGCAACCTCTTCCTCTCGTCTTTCCTCATAGAGCATCCCCAGACGAACACTATACAGGCAACACCTATGTCTTACTGGCTTTATTGAGCTTAATTGCTTTCTGTTGATGTTTTCTTTGCTGATGCTGTCATTATTGTCTGTTGCTTGATATAGTATGGTGCACAGTTATAAAGATTTCCTGGCTGAATGTTCTTTTATTAGTACATTTGTTTTGCTGCTTGTTACTACCTGGACACCTCTTCAGGTACATTTATTTCAGTTCTTCACTTGCACCTGTGATGGAATTGGCTTTCAAGGGTACAAGGCAGCATTTTTGTGTAGTATGTCTTGCCTTCTTCTTTCTGGGTCGTTTTGGCTCTTTTAGATTTCTTTTATAGATGTGCTTCCTTGCTGATCTGTGGGTTCTGCCCAGCTGGTGAATTCCTGTATCACATTCCTCCTTGATTCCTCTGCATTGTTACTGAAGAGACTAAACAAGGACCTGCTGTAGCATGGTCCTGCCATGCTGCCTTCCATTGGTACATGCATCTTGGAAGCAGTACTGCAGCTCTGATTCAGCTCTTTCCTTCTGCATCCCCTAGGTGCATCCACTGTGGGGTTGTCTTCATGACCCTGGCATTACTGAGAGCGCACATTCACGAGAAGCACTGCGAAGTCTTCCACAAGTGTTCTTTTTGCCCAATGGCCTTCAAATCAGCAGACAGCACCATGGCTCACGTGACCAGCCAGCACCCAGCAGAGCCTCACAAGACTACTCAGTAAGTATTTTGTTATGATCTGCTCTTCTCCTTTGCTGTGTAGCTCTACAACTGCCTCCACTTTCTATCTCAGTTGTTTATTCCTCTTTCCTTTTTTTATTGTTGTTTGTTTCTGTCCTAATTTCAGGAAGAGCTGCCCCCTTGTCTGCTGGCAGAGGTTCGTTCCTAACCGTGGCATGCTCTCCTTGATACAAATGCTGCCTCCTCGGTTAGGAGGAGAGGAGTTATGGGCAGGGAAGGGTGGAACATCTGCAAACAGCTCTTAATTGTCACCTTTTGGTCGAGCTGGAGTGTCACCTCTTGATAGGTAGCCCCAGGGTAACTGCTGATTCTGGCACTCAAAGCAAGGGGAGAGTTGTGCTGTGCCGCATTGCCCCGGAAAAAATCACTAGAGAGAAACTCTTGTTTTTTCCGCTGTGTAGCATTCCCTGCTGAGCCCTGAGCTAGTGCCAAAAATGTGTGCTGTAAGGGAGGGTCCATGGAAAGGTGGAACTGAAAGAAATGCATAGCAAGTATGCTCTGAGTCTGCTCCCATCCATCTGCACTTACTGTCACACACTTAGGTAGTTATGCATATGCATGTAAGTAAACTTATTTTTAGCAAGTTGTGGTATGTACTTGGGGCATTTTCTTGTTTTTCCCAGTTGAGATAGTAGTTGAGTGGTCCATGTGGGTGTATGCTGCCAATACATTGATAGAGCACAGCCCTCATCAGAAGCCCATCTCTTTTCGAAGTTGCTAAGATGACCTCTTCCACTGACTCCTCAAGATAACTAATGAAGAGAGAGTGAGTTTTCTTTTTTAAATTGTTCCAGGGTGATCTACAAATGTTCTTGTGAGACTGTCTTTAACAAGAAGAAGCTGCTCCAAGAGCACTTCCAGCAGAATACCAGCAAGTTGTTTGTGGGCGTGTTTAAGTGTCCACAGTGTCAGCTGGTGTATATGCAGAAACAGCAGTTAATGCAGCACGTTAAGGTAGGTAACTCCCACCACTTAATGATATGAGGTCCTAGTTTCTGAGTTCACAGAGAGTTTGCATGCACTATTTAAGGACACTGGTTGAAGAAATGGGATGTTCTTGAGCAATACATTAGTAGAAAAACAGACTGCAAAAGTTTATGGTATTATCTGGAAACTTCAGTTGAGCACTTTGTACTAGTTGGTAATATTGCAGGTGGTTACTCCTCCTTGTCTAATTCAACCTTGTGACAAAGGCTTACTTTCTACAGATAAATCTTTCTGATGGTTAACTGTTCTGTATTAAACCATAGGAAGTGATTAAGCTTTGGGGGGAGCTTTATCTTTGCTTGGGAGGCAGGAAGAAGCATCCTCTGCCCACAGTACTACTGAATTTGTGTAAGGAAAGCTGGGTCTTTCCTCTTCTGGGTACTGACATAAAAAGGGAGGGCTTTGGTTCCTTGTCCCCTTTGCAGCTGCCTCCAAGAGAGGCAGCACAGCGTTTGACACCTGCTTCCCTAAGTTACCTGCAGAACTACAGAAGATCGCTAGAGGAGAGTGACTGAGTCAAAAGGATTTGCCCTGGAGGTGCCAGTCTTCAGAACATATCTCTGTTGTACTGTCACGTGAAGTTTCTAAGCCACTACTTGAAAAGCTGTGGCAGTTCAGTGAAGTTCTGAGCGACTGGAAAAGGGGAAATGTAACCCTGTTTCTAAAAAATTTAAAAAAAAGATGACCCAGGGGACTATAGGGCAGTCATTCTCACACTGTGCCCAGCAAGATCATGGAGCAAATCCTCTTGCAGAGTGTGGTGACATACAGGGAAAACAGAATGGCTTCGCTAAGGGCAAATTCTGCCTGAAAATGTGGCCTTCTATAATATGGTTACAGCATTGGTAGAGAAGGGAAGGGCAATTCATGTCATCCATGTAGAGATGTGCAAAGCATTTGACAGTGTCTCACGTGACATCCCAGTCTCTAAAATAGTCATGCATTTGACAGATGGAGCACTCAGGTCACCAGCTCGATGCGTAAGTGCAGAGCAGTGATGACTGGTGATCCTCCTGGGTCGTCAGTGGGACCAGTATTTAACATCATGTCAGTGACATGGACAGTGGGTCGGAGTGCACCCTCAGCAAGTTTGCTGACAACACCACGCAATATGATGTGATCAGCACCCTGGAAGGACGGGATGCCATCCAGAGGACCTCGACAGGCTTGAGAGGTGGGCTTGCAAGAACCTTACGAAATTCAGCAAGGCCAGGTGCAAGGTCCTGAACCTGGGTAAGGGCAGTCCCAAGTAGAAATGCAAGCTGAGCAGTAAGTTGATACAGAGCAGCCCTACTGAGAAGGACTTGGCCATCCCGGTGGAAAGGAAGCTCAACATGAGCCAGCAGTGTTCACTCATAGCCCAGAAAGTCAACTAACTGTATCTTCAACTGCACCCAGAAGAAGTATAGCTGGCAAGTTGAGGGAGGTGATTCTCCTCCTCTGCTTCGCTCTGCTCTTCTGAGACCCCATTGCAGCACTGTGCTCAACTCTTGGACACCCAGCACAAGAATGAAATGGAGCTGTTGGTGCAAATCTGGAGGAGGACCACGAGGATGCTCAGAGGTCTGGAGCACCTCTGCTATGAAGATGGGCTGAGAGAGTTGGGGTTATTGGGAGACCCTGAGAGTGTAGTGACAAGGCAAAGGGGGAATGGCTTAAAGCTAAAAGAGGGGAGATCTAGGTTAGATATTATATGAAAATTCTTTTCTCAGAGGACAGTGAGATGCTGGCACTGCTGCCCAGAGCTGTGGGTGCCCCATCTCTGCTGGTGACAAGGACACAGGTGGGCCCTGGGCAGCCCAATCTGGGGGCAGCCAACCTGGCAGGGGTGGAAATGGATGGGCTTGAGGGTCCCTTCCAACCCAACCTTTTCTATGGTCTGTGATACATATGAAAAGCCTGTTGTTGCCCATTTGGTGGAGGCTCTTGTCAGAATGTGTCTGTGGGCTTGCAGATCTGATCGTCTCATAATGTGTGAACGCTGTGTTTTCCAGTTGCTCCAGTCAGTATATTTCTGTGCACACTAACCACACTTCTGTGAAAAATCTCTTAGATTTCCTGGTTGCATTCCGAAGAAAGAACATGCAAGCCGTATTTCTCTTTGATTAGAAAAAAGCAGTGGCATGATTTTTTTAATCAGTGCCTTTGTTTTGTGTTTACTTAAAAGGCCAGAAGGTTCAGTAGCTTGCTCCTAAAAGAGAAAAAGTCAAAACTACTACTTTGCCAATAAAACATACCTTCTCTGTATCCTTACAGGCTGTAGGGTTTGATTTTCCGCACATCAGCCTCCATACCTTTAACTTGCAAATCTGGAAACGCTCTGCACGTGTTAATGATTTAAAATATGAAACCCTCCTGAAAAGCTGATGATTGGTAATCTTCCTGTATTATTGCTGGGAAAAGAGAGTTGAGAGTAAAGGCTGGGATCTTCAAAGCTCCATTGCTGATAGCTGGGCTTGAGCAGAAGTACCCAAATTGTTGCAGCTTATTTGCAGGTGCCAGCCCCAATAACTTGTCCACAGCAGTTTGTGCACAGGCTGCCTGATGTTGGCACAACAGAACTTTTATATTTAGATTGCTGGGCTGTATTTGGCTATCGATGTGTCTGGAGATTGTAATAGAAGGTGGCTTTTTGTCCGTGGCAAGGTGGTAATTGCATTAACCCATCTCTTTTCCTATCAGATGGCACTGCTTTATGCCATATGGAGTTTATAGGAGGTGCTGTCTGAAAGTCACCTCACTTTCTGTGCTCCATTTTTTGTTTTCTTTCCAGAGGTGTAATAACAGAAGGAATGGAGTAATGGGTGATAACGTACTCTTTACTTAGAAAAGACTTGAGGTTTCCAGATGGGGAGGAAGGGGAAGTTTGTGTTTGTGTTACCCTGCATAGCAGCAATGCTGTGCCCTGTGATTGCATCAGAGCTTCTGCAGACATCAGGTGGCTCAGGTGCAAAGCACAGGTTTTTCGGATCAGACCTTGTGTTTGAAGTTTGTTTAGTGCCTAACAAAAGGAAAGGCTTCCAAATGCCCACGGGGCCTTCGTGTGTTGAAACTTTACCCGTTATTAATTACTATGCACAGTTAAACCTCTAAATTATCCTTTTGTGTGGATGAACTATTGTTGTTCCTAGGGGAATTTCTTGAGGTTTCTTTGGTATGTTGCTGTTTTATTTGCTTTTGCTTTCCCACAGCTCTTCATTTCTTATTTTCTTTATGTTCAATTTTCTTTGTTAAAATAATTTTTTGGGGGGACAGGGATTTTGGCCTGTTGAACAAGCAAAGAGCCTGAAGACACGTTCCATATAAGGCTGACTTCTGGCTTTGTGCTTGCTTTTATTTGTCAAGAGAAAAGTTGAAAGTCTGAAAATATGAATAGCAGTAGTCATTGTGGAGTTAAAGAAAGTAGGGTTGGAGAAACTGTGAGATTGTCTCTTCTCTTATCTTCAGCAAAGATCAAGCAGCTTCGGAGCCTCCAAGCTAACAGCAAACGTTTCACTCAGCGTTTTCCAAAGCAACGTGTTTTTAAAGCTTAGGTTCTTGAAATAATGACAGTTAGCATTTCTCTCTCATTACATCTTCCCTTTTTAACTTGAGCGCTCAGGGCTCATACAAAATGTTGAACAGATAGTAGTGAGGAGTTGCTGTTGTCACACAGGAAACATAAATAGAAGCTTCATGTTTCTTAGGAATATCTCTTACTGGGGGAAGTGCTGTGGTCAGCTTCAAGAAGAAATGGGAGGATGCACAAGGGGCAAGATGTTAATGTAGTGTTTGGCAGGGACTTATATTATCTATTTAAATGTGATAGTCATTTATGACACGTAGTACAGATTACAAATAAATATTATGTTTGATTCCGTTATTTTTGTTTTCCAGGGTGTTCATGGAGTCTCCCAAAATCCTGAGGAGCTCTTAAACTTTCGACAGAAGTCTGAGAGGATGTCAAAGAACCAGGTTCATAACCCACCAAAGGAGCTGTTGGTAGCCAATGGGACTTCCCACTCACCTCTGTCAAGGAAAGACATGAGGGTGGAAGGACACAATCCCGAATCCAAGTCCAGGCTGAGAAGAACTGGTTGGACTTGCAAGGAATGTTCACAGTGGATCCCTGATCGGGAAACCTACGTGTCCCACATGAAGAGAAGTCATGGAAGGGTAAGGACTTGCACAGAACATTTCAGCTGGGTAACGAGATATTTTTAGCTGAAGAGTCTGGTGATCATTAATATCTCAAGCAAAAAAGGTCTGTTTGCCAGCTCACTGAGGAGTAAGAGCAGAATGCTTTCTGTAGGAGCAGAAGGCAGACTTTCTGTCCTTGGTCATATGGCTTACAACCTTATGTACCTTATCTGTTTTGTTGTTCCTTCTCCCACTGCATCTAATGGCAGGCTTTCTCCTCTGCTCATTTCTGTAAGTGGATGGAAAGTCCTGTCTTCACCAGCTGCTGGTCCAACAGGTGGTCTAAACAAAGTTGCAAGAGGACATAGAGTTTTTGATGACATTATTTGGTAGATACAACAGGTATAAGGTGTGCATAGAGCTATCATTATAGGAACTATAAATCCTCAATTTTTTTGGTTTTATTCAACTCTGGCCTTGCCTTGACCTAGTTCTGTCAAGTTAATCCTTACTTGCTGGCAGAACATAGGCCAAGATGTTGTGTGTGCCAGATTTCTCAGTACCTAGGCATCAGGACTACTTCTTTGATGTACTGAGTCACCCTTCTTGAGTCCCATGAGCAGACACTGTGGAAATGTGGTTCATTGGCCTTGATGCCTGGTAACTTGGTGTGGTGAATACTGGTTGTGCGCTTAAATATCAAGGAGATTTGGGCAGGGTGAGAGTGCTGAATTTTCCCATCTGAGTTCTGTAAGAGGAGGAAATTTGCCAAATATTTCAGTTCAATACATAATATGTATTCATTGTTTAAGATGATTCTAAATGGAGTGCATGCAGGTGTACAAAGGAGAACAGGAAAAGGAGAAAGCTAGCTACAGGGCAGAGTTTGGTGGGGAGATGTGGGTATCAGGTAAATGGGTAACAGCTGGTACTGTGTGGTGCTCTCTAACGTACTGCCCTTTTATTGCACTGAGCTTGGAGAGGAAAGCTGTACTTAACACTGGGTCTTGCCATCTCCTGGGTGAGAATGGACCTTCCCTGAGTGAATTCTGCAGAGTCCTGCAGCAAAATGACCGTACAACAGAAGTGTCTAACGCAATTGCTATCTTAAAAAAAAAAAAAAGAAAAAACAAACAAGCATGTGGCTTAACTAATTTTATAAGACCAGTGCTGTTATTAGCCAACTGCTGGGCTGAATGTAAGTGGAACGCCAAAATTTCAGTTGCCTTTATCAATGGAGGAGGGTGGTTTTGCACCCATGAGGCAAGGTCCAGATGAGCAGCAGGGGAAACTCAGAATAGGGAAGTCAGAGCCTTTTTGTCTCCCTGTTACTGAAAGATAATTCTGTTCTTCTGCTAGGCTATGAAGAGATATCCCTGTCGACAGTGTGAACGCTCTTTTAACGCCTCCAACAGTCTGCGTAGACACATCCGCAACAATCACGATACAGCAAAGAAAGTTTACACTTGCTGGTATGTACTGAATACCACATTTTGAATTTGTACTCAATGACGGGCTAATCTTTCATATTTGGAAGACCTTTGTAATAGATCCATGCCTGTTCATCTCTACAACAGGCTAGAAATGACTGAGGAAGAGTGAGAAGACAAACATTTAAAATGTAAGCAACTTGGTGGCTAAAATAAGTCCTTGGGTTGGACTGCACAACGCCCTTTTGGAAACTTTACCCTAAGTTTGATTTGAAAGCTGCAGGTCCAGCATGACATTTATGTTGCACAGCCTTGTGGAACAGCCAAGAAAACACTGGACCGATCTGCCTGCTACCTTTTACACGAGTAGAAGTGTCTGCACATACTGCAGTGGAGAAAATCTGGATTTGCTTGGAAGGATGTTCCTCAGAGTAGGGAGTAGATTTGGAGACTCCAGATGAGCTGCGTGAATCAGCAGTGAATGAAAATCTTGGCTGGTGAACATATTGTAACTGAGAATACAGTGTCAGTTCAGGACAAAGCCCACTGCTTACAAAAATACCTCTGCAAATGTTCTTATCTGCTGTTGCAGAATAAGTCATATGCTGAACAGTCACGCAAGCTTAGTTCCTGTCTCAGATTCTGAGACATCTTAAAACAAAATTCAGGCACGTTTGTGTTTGAAGGGATGTTTGCACTGATGTAGGTTAGGGATTTTTTTGTTCAGCTGAAATTCTGTATGAATGCAAGTGTTTCTGAGGAATATGCTGGAATGTGCTATGGATTTTTGCACTTAAATTACTAGAAGTCTGTTTTGAAGTGTACATCCCTGGTGTGCTCTGTTCCTGTGGCCCACGTGGTGAGCCACGGTAGCTTTGAGAAAATGGATGAAGTATTGGCATCATCACCACTGGAGCCTGATAAAAGCAAGTTCCCAACGTGTATTTTAGCCAGAATTTCTCAGCTTCCCTTTTCTTGTAACTGCACTGTGACTTGCACCCTCTGCAGGATATGAAGCATTGGTTCCCAGTTTCATTTTGCTTTAACTTTGTGGGTTGTTGGAGTTATGTGCATCTGGTTTGTATAAACGTATTCTCTTTGGATCACTTGGTTTCAGAGTGGGGTGTATCAGAATCAAAATAGCAGGGAAGGAGGATTTTGTGTCAGAATAATGTCCTGGGGTGTGCATTATTTTGTACAAAGCCTAGGATCCAGTTTTTCTGTTACTTTTCAGAACAGCATGCAGCTGTGGATCTATAATTCACCTATGTGTTCATGGGCATGCATTCTTTGCAGCAGAGAAAACTGAGCAACAAATTCCAGTGAATTGTGGTTATGTTTAATTCTCGAGCTTGTAGTTGCTCCTTCTCAAAATCTGCTGATGAGGTCTTAATTGGACAGTAGTTGTGCCCTCTTTAATCATTGTATTTCAGTAAGTCTTTCACTACAATACTCTTCACATTAAGCCTTCTCCTTAAAACACTTGTGGCAATATCTCCAACAGCTGCTCTTTGTTTGGATCTCAGGATTTCTGGTTGGTCTTCCCTTCAGCTAGGTACCTGAGCATGTCTCATTACTGAGCCTTCCTATTAACAGACCCTGCAAATATCAGTCTCAGTGCCTTAACTTTGTGTCACCCTCTACTCCTGGATTTCCCCTTGAAGATCAGAAGCATGAGTAAAATCTATCACTGACCCAATTGTGCAGTATTTCTGTGACTCCAGGTGTGCTGTCTTGTAGTTACTCTCTTGCTTCTAACATTTTGAGCTGTGATTTCCCCTTCTTGCCCTGCCTTGCTTAGATCTCATCCTTGCGTTAACTTTGTAGGGTGAAACCAGTGATGGAGGACTTGCTTAAGCTCCCTCCTGCCAAGTTTGTCACTGATGTAATTAGGAAAGCATCTTTTAGCTATTCACACGAAAAGAATTCCAAATTAGAACAAATTGCAAGGCATTCTCATGTTTTATGCATTTTCCTTCATAATTCACTTGGTTATTGTGCTCAGACCTTGCTCTTATTTTCCCAGTCTTAGGTACGAACTGTCTGGAACACTTGATTTTCAGCATGTTTATTTTTGATAAATACCACTTAATAACCTCTCATCTTGCCTCCTTGAAGGAGAAAAATCCCATCATTATTAAATATTGATTTATCATCTAAGCAATTCCTGATTAAAAAAAAAAAACAGAAATACTCAGTGAGTACATCTGTGTTTTAACATCATTACTGACCGTTGTTTTTCCATCTAGTGGAGAAGCTGGAAGATCAGTAGAAATCTTTTTCTCTCCTGTTAAAAAAGGCCATTGTCTCCCAGATATGCTTCACCCTCGTTGCTGCTTTTCATCCCCTGCTGCCTGTGTTTCAGCTGCAATTTGTGCATTGCAGAGAGGTATGATGTTCCTTGCCTCATCACTCAGGTTGATGCCAAGCTCATGGACCTTCCCCACGTCACACTGGCAGTCAGCAGAAGAGTACAAAGTCAACCTTGGCTTCCCTGATTGCTTTCCGAGTGCTCTTTGCACCTGGCCATGCTACAGAGGGTTGGTTTATGTTCCTGTGAGACCTGGTGCTTATTTCCAGTAGACCTTGGTCATCTGAGAGGGCAAGTTAATAGCTGGCTCTTCCATTTCACATCTCATTTTGAAGCTTCAGTGTCATTTCTGGCAGCTTTTAAATCCTTCTGGGTTTTAATGTATTTACTTCCACATAAATGATGCACTTGTTAGTGCTTTTGACCACATGGGCTGGAAGTTCAGAGGTTTTGTAAGAATTTCAAGTGTGCCATGATAAACAAGGTCTTGTGGATGTGATACTGCACTGGCTGTGGGACCTGCAGGGCTCCTCCTTGTTACACACAAAATGAGGTCTCTCTGTGCATTACTCTCCCAAAAGCTGCTTTTCTCTTGTTCTTTTTTCATCTTGATTACTTACCTTGTGCTTCTGCAGTGTGTATCACAGTGGGCCTGATCTCCAGTCATCCCTGTATTTATTAAGTGCTGTACTGTAAATAATACGTGCCCTACTTTCATTCTTGTTCATCCTTTCTGCGGTAAACTTTTATGGATTTCTGTCAGCGATAATATTTTATTAGTAAAATGGTGATTTCCTGCCTCTTTTGGTAATCTAATAGTACATTACTCTACAACTTCTGTCTCCTATGACACCTATTGGTTTGATGCATAATGAAGAGCTGTTTGGATGAAAGAACGGTCGGGCATTTCCTCTAATAAATTTTCTTTGTTTTGTATTTATTTCCAAGGTACTGCACAGATGAAAATCAGACATTTCCTCAGCCGTTCATGTTGGAGAATCACATCAGTCTCATGCACGGCATCAAAAACCCAGACTTGTCCCAGATGGCCAAAGCAACAGCTCCAGAGAGAGAGATAGCAGAAGTAACTCATACATTTTCATTCAAAAGTAGATGTATCTGGCGAGTAGCTGTCCACATAGGGTAGTAAACGAGTGGTATTTGTGGCAGTAAAGCCCTCTCGCTTTGAAATATGGCAGATTTCCCTCCTATTCTCCAAATTCCATCTAGTTTTTCTAGCAGTGTCATGATCTGAACTGAAAAATGCAGCAGCAGCACTGGGGCAATGCGTCTTGCATTTTTCAAGATGGTTTTGAACATATGGTCCTGTGTTTACTGGCCTTTTTCAGTCCACTTTGCAACCAGAACTAATTTGGCTTTGTTTTTACCCTCATTTTCCCATACCACTGCACACTTTCCTTGAGATATGAGAGTCTGGTACATTTTTTCTGCTTTCTCCCTTGTGTTTTTGTTACTACTTACACAAAGGTTTCTGGTTTAACTCCTACTAGATCTGTTACATATAAGCACTGCATTCCTCCTCAGTGGGACTGTGCCATTTTTTTCTGACAACTGTAACCGTTCAACTGATGTTATTTTGGGTTGGTTTGAAGTGGAAGGTTGGCAGGTTGAGCTCCTTGTTCCAGTTAGTTTAAAAACAGAAGTGATAAGGAAAATCTGTTTCTATTTATCTGTCACCAGTACTGTAGCACTGAGGGATTGCAACCAGGACCTTCCTGTATTTGTGTAGTGATCCCAGGCATGGAGAAAGGGAAATCTGGAATTCTGTGAGCCGGTAGCTGCTCCCCCATGCAGAGCTCTGCACCTGAGAGCTGGCTGCACACCGCTCTAGCTGTGTTTCAGATACAAGCCAAACTGTATGCAAAACAAAGGCTGTGCAATGCTGCTGGATGGGGAGATAACAAAATGACACACAGGGACACGTGATCGAGCCATTCTCATAGGAGGAGACTGCGCTGCAGGATGATGCAGTAGAAGGCATGAGGCAATGAGAGGTGGCATGAAGAAAAAGAGTAGAGGGAAAAATGTTCAGCTTCTCCTTCCCATATTTTTTCTGCCTTGCTAGCTCCTCCCAGAGCTCCCATCTCGCCTTGCAGGACAGCAGTTGACATCCTGCAAATTGTGACAAAGAGCAGAGTAGGCATTGCTGCAACCCCGAAGTGTTTGGGTATCGATAGGAAAGACGATGCAAGGGGAGCCCCTAGGCATGCCATTGTTTAATTTGTAACAAAATACCTATGTGTATTCACCCTCAGATGCCTTCACACGTATGTGTGGGATTTAGCAAACTAAGATGCTTATTCTTCTGTGGGCTCAAACAATGAAGTAACTTGTTAATCTTATTTTTTAAGGCAAGATCTCCAAAGAGGATGGCGACGAACGAGCTGGGTCAGGCAGAGACCGCTGCAGGTTCAGACACACCGCCGGCCAAAAAACTGAAAGCGCATTGGAAATGTGCAAAATGTGGATTTGCAACAGACATCAGTACTGAGTTTCAGGAGCACATACCTCAGCACAAGACAGACAGCTCCACGTATCAGTGCTTGTTCTGCGGCTTGTGTTACACATCTCAAATCTCTCTGAACAGACACCTCTTCATTGTTCACAAAGTAAAAGATGAGGAGGAAGAGGAGGAAGAAGAGGAGGAGGAGGAGGGAGAGGAGGAGAAGCTACAAGCGGAGATGAATGAGAATGGACACGAAGGGTATAATGGTGAGATGAACACTATGGTGGAAGAAGAAAGCCTGGAATGCAAAGAGTGCAAAACTGACTCAGCTCTTTGTGAGCACAGGCAGACGTGTTGTGTGGAGGGTCCTCGTAGCACCTCTCAGAACAATCATTCGAAGTCTATTAAGACTTAAAAGCAAAACAAAAACTTTTTGCTCTGTTGGGGCTTTTTCTTTGGGGGTTTTTACTCAAAATACTCGGTGGGGATGGGGCAAATCATTGAAATGTTCTGTTGATTTCTTGGGATAGACGTTGCTTTCCGTTAACTTCCATTTGTAAGGGAAATTTGGAAAAGAAAAATACCCTGCCATTACATCCTGAGCACTAACTCTCTGCCAGCTCAGAGAGTTGAAAAGGGAAAGCAGGGCGAGAATCCTCCCTGGAGCTTGTCCAGCTCCTGAGGGTCAAGGAGCACTTTCTGCAGCTGCAGTTCCCTGAAGATGAGCTTTCCTCCCTTGAGTGCACTGCTTCAGCCTCTGCCCACAGACTCAGCCTTGCCTTCCCCATCTCCCTTTCTGTCTCCTTCTATTTATGACTTACTTTTCCCATTCTGCCTTTGTTTCATTCATGTTAATTCATAATGCTGTCTCAGCAAAGCGCGTGTGTTAGGGTTGTGCTGGCCGATCCAAGATTGTCTGTGTTTAATGGGACAGGCCTGAGTTGTACTCAAGCTTGCATTTAATTTACTACTTTAGTAACAGTCATGTTTTCCGAAAGGTAATTTAATGAAGCATCGTGATTCTTAATCACCCGGAAACAGAATTTTGTAGCCCCTTTTGGGAGAGCACAACCACCATGACGGAGGTGGGTGGGTACAGCACTTCTCTCTGCATTAGGGCATCACGGTCCAAAAACAAGAACTTCTCACCAAGGCCTGTAGGGTCCTGGCAGGGAGGTGATGGGGTCCCACAAGGCTGGTGGGGCTGGAAAGCTGCTGTCCCAGTGGCAGCGCTGCTGCCCTCCTGCCTCAGCTTTCCATATTCCTTTGGAGACGTTTATGTCCACGTAGTCATATTGACTCTGTCCGTGCCGTTTCCTCATCGTTCCCCCAACACACCTTTCATGTAATATAATTATCTTCCATACTTTTTTTTTATGTTGAGCCAGAATCCCGCTAGTTATTGTTTACTATGACAATGTTTAAATAATTTAAGAACTATTTATCTTATTGCATATGAATTGCTCACTTTCTTGTCTCAATGTGTTTTGATACAAACAGTTTGGACTCTTTGTATTTTTTGATACTGTGTACATTAGCCTAGGGAATGTTTTACAAGGTAGCCTATGTAGAGTAACAATAGCAGGGGGCACTCCCAAGCCATCATATATCTATTTAATCTGCAGTGGCATTTGTGCCTTGCTATAATGTTTACTTCAAAGTATTTCAAATAAAAGCATCCAACAGTACTCCTGGTGCTGCGTGCTTGCCGAGGGACGGGAGGTGACTGGAGCTGAAAGGACAGCCGAGCTGGCACGGGTAGGGACACAGCACAGGGGCTCCTGCCTGCCATCTCCTCCCTGTCACCACCCGTCCCCTCCTCCTGCCAGCATCTCCTTCCTGTCCCCTCCATCTCCTTGCCGTCATCTTCTGACCCTTCCAAGTGGGCTGCGTTGGTTCTGTTGAAGGGGCCTGCAGGGCCGGAGGAGGGCTATGAAGACGGGCTGAGGAGCTGGGGGCGTTCAGCCCGGGGAAGAAAAGGCTGCGGGGAGCCTCGTTGCGGCCTTCCAGGACTGGAGGGGAGCTCACAAACAAACAGGAGGAGAGCAGCTTTGTACGCAGGCAGACAGCAATAACGGGACGAGCGGGAACGGCTTTAAACGAACAGAGAGGACGCTGAGGTGCGGTGTGAGGAGAACACCGTGACACAGAGGCGGCGAGGCGCCGGCACCGCTGCCCAGAGCTGTGCTGCCCCGTCCCTGCGGTGCCGAGGACACGGGCGGGCCCCGGGCAGCCCGCGGCAGGGCCGGGATCCCATGATTCTCCGGTCCCCCCTCCCACCATCACCCCCCGTCGGTTCCGTCCCCGCTCCGCCGCCCCCTTCCGCTGCCGCTCCCACTTTCCCCGGGCGGGGCGGGGCCGGAAGCGGCCGAGCGCGCGGACGGAAGCGGAAGTGGCGCGGGGCCGCCGCCGTGGTGCCCGCGATGCTGTCGCTGGACTTTCTGGACGATGTGCGGCGCATGAACAAGCGGCAGGTGCGCGGCGGGGCGGGCGGAACCGGGCACACGCGGATCCCGGCCGAGCCTGACCCCGCCGCCCCCTTCTCCTCCCTCCCAGCTCTACTACCAGGTGCTGAACTTCGGCATGATCGTCTCGTCCGCCCTCATGATCTGGAAGGGGCTGATGGTGGTGACGGGCAGCGAGAGTCCCATCGTGGTGGTGCTGAGGTAAAGGCGCGGCCGTAGCGCTGGCGGTGGGTGCGGTGCGGCTGGGACACGGACGCGGCCGTGGTTTGGCGATGGCGGTGGCTGGGGGTCCGGCGATCTGGAGGATGCTCTCTAGAGACGTGGCACCTGCGTCCACCCAGCTGCCAGGTCCTGGTTGGGCAAAGCCTTTCTAAGGATCTCCAGTCTCAGTGGAAGATGGGGGAGAGGATGAAATGCCCGCAGGGAGGAGATGGGCACTGCTGAGTGGTGCCGGTGGCAGGACAAAAGGTGCCGGGCACAAACTGGAAAGCGGGAGGTTCTGTCTGACCAGCAGCCAGCACAGTGTGAGCGACAGAGAGCTGGCACAGGCTGCCCAGAGGGGCTGCGGAGCCTCTGTCTGTGGGGATGTTCAGAAGCCACCTAGATGTGAGCACTTTCTCTGGGTGTCTGTGCTGAGCCAGATGGACCCAGGGCTCCCCTCCAACCTCATCTGATGGCTCTGTGAAGCAGGAAGGCAAAACTTACCACCCTGTGTAAAAATAGCATCTCTTTCTGTCAGCTGTCAAATATGTATGTTACAGGGGTGGTCCTGAAGGAGGGACAGAGAAGAAACTAAAGGACATCAAAGAGCTCAATCCAAGTGCTCTTGAGTTCTGTCAGACCTCGTGGAAAAACACTTGGCAGCGTGGGTGAAGCATGGGAAAGGAAGGCCTTGAAGCAGGAGGCCTGGCACCAGTGGTGGACACACTGCTTGGGGCATCACTGCTGCATGAAAGCAGTGTTTGTGGCAGGGCTCGCCTTGTCACTGAGATTGCAGCACAGCCCACTGTAGAGGCCATAGCAGCAGAGCATTGCAGCACAGTTACCTCCTGTTTTCCTCTCTTGTTGCTGCTGTGTGAGTGGTCGAAGAATGCAGTGAATCTCAATTAATGAACAAAGAGGTTGACGTCTTTGAGATGCTAGCAAATAAATTCTTACAGGGAAGAATTTATTTTTTTTTTTAAATAGGACCTGGCTTGCCACTACTAATGAGCGTTATTACGTGTTATGTTGCATCCTCACATATCCATTAACTGTGTTTTTCACAGCTACTTTTTTTTTTTTTTTTTTCCCCTGGTCTTCTAGCAAGCTAGGAGAAAGGGAGCTCCAGCCATAGCCTCATACACGTGTGGTTGTGTAAGATGAATAAGTATACAGATGTTGTAAAGTATTGGATGATCAATAAGTATACAGAGAAGTTAGGCTAGTAAGATTATGACATTGAAAAAGACAGTCAGAAATAAATGGAAAGTGCTCACCAGTGTTGTAGGCTTACAAGAAACCCCACAACAAGCAATTTTCAGAGATCCTTCCTTAGTGGCAGTCAGCCCTTAAATGGGGTCCAGGAGAGGTGGAACCAGCCTCCACCCTTTCTGATCACACAGCTGAATTGCCTTCACCTGTGCTCCTGTAGCTGACTCAGTGCTCCCCTCAGGTGGTCGATCAGAGGTTCAGGCCATGATCCAACAGTTCCCTGAAAATAAGGGATATCACCATAACTGGATAAGTTTCAGATGTGTGTAGCCTCACAAAAGCATGATGCCATGAGTACCACACTCATGGTATGCCCTACTTGTGTCCTCCTCCTTTCTGGGACAGATTCCTCCTGGTGGAGTTCTTGGGCAGTGACTGGGTGCAGGCACGGCCGGGTGCTGTGTGGGTATCACACGCGTCCTGTTCTGTGGCTGCTTTGGCCTTTCAGTGCATTTTTACACCAGTGTTAATTACTACATGCCATTTAACAAGGCTCAAAAAGAAAAGATTTAGAAGCAAGTGGCACTCTTGATGGATCTCTTGAAGTTCAGGGGAGATGTTTTGCTCTGCTCTTCCCAGTGAGTATGACGTGGGCCCTTAGGTCACATCCTCTCTTCTTATCTCCTGAACAGCAGCTTATCTACTGTCTTGAGATAAAACAGTGAAAGTTCATTGTTTCCTGTTGTATTGCATTATTTATTTGAAATTAGGAAGGTTAAGTATTTGATAACAGTTGCCATTTACAAGACAGGAGAAAAACAACTTGAATAGCAGTGCCTGAAATGAATTAATAGTTAAGCAGTGCGATGAATCACAATAACAAATTTTTAGCACACACGTCTGTTTGTTCCAGATGGGAACATAAGAGCCTGTGTGTTTTCAGCACTTTGTTCTCAAGGACCATCTATCTACCTGTGAAAAAATAAAATGCAAAAGCTCCCTTCCCACCACTGCAGTACTGCCAGCATAGCACAATGAATTCAGTGCTTGTAGAGACGATGCTGCTCGTTGCCAGCCTTGTTATGAGGAAGAGAGCATCATGACTTCCCTGTTGGTATGATTTTAACCCTCCCCACTGGCACTGATCTAGTATAGTGATAGAAAATCGAAATGGAGTAGGGGTTAGACACATGCCAGTTCTCCAAGTCTTGCCATTATCTTAGGCATTCTTCTTTAAAGATACTGCAAGCTTTCTCTTAAAAGTCTATAAACGGTGAAGCCTGATTCTCAGTGTTTAAATATTGCTTAATTGTTCCTCTTCTCTTTTTCAGTGGAAGCATGGAGCCTGCATTTCACAGAGGAGATCTCCTGTTCCTAACGAACCGAATTGAAGATCCAATCAGAGTGGGAGAAATTGTGGTCTTTCGGATAGAAGGAAGGGAAATTCCTATAGTCCATCGTGTCCTGAAAATTCACGAGAAGTATGTTAAGAATTTGGGGGGCTTCTATTGCATTGGTGAATTAATTGTCTTTTTCCTTATCTCCTTGGTTAAGTGAATGGTTGGAACTTCATTTAAGAGATATCCAAGTGCTGTAGGAAGTAACGTCAAAATTTCCAACAGTCCAGATCTATCCCCTTTGGTTTCCTTATGAAGATCAGCTGCTTGGGAATCAGAGTTCCCAAGCTGGGAAGTCTGTCCCGGTATCCTGAACTCACTGTGTCACATAGCATCTCCTGTCATTTCCATCCCAAATTGCCTCGTAACTTTGCTGCATTGTCTCCTCTAAGTATGGCTACAGTGGGTGTGTTAAGTGACTACTGAAGTAGAACTTTATGCGTGAAGAGCATTTTCAGCACAGCGTGCACTATTGTAAATTTTGAGAGAGCTAACCAGGGGAAGGGTTTTTTTGTAGTTTTCTTCTCAGTAGGAATCATTATAGCATCGTTATATTCAGAGTGTCTAGATGGACTGCACTGTCCTTGTACAATTTGTATTCAAAATGTTGAGCAGTGTGTGTATCTGAAGAAGAATTGAAAAAAACAGTCATTCTGGTTTGATTGCTGAACAGGGTTTGATTTTCCAAGCAAGACTTTCTCTTCAGTTGTGAGCCTTCTTATTTGTTTGTTCTGAAGCAATTGGGACTGCTCAAGGCCAGCAGTCAGTGGGGATAAGAGCCAGCCCTGTGAGAGATGTGAGTGAAAGCTAAACCTTGAACTGAATCCCTGTCTCTTCATGCCAGAAGAGCTGGCATACTGAGAAGAGAGCTGAATGGGTAACCTCATTCAACCTTTGAATGGGGTCTCAGCATCTTTTTGCTGAGTAAATAAGGAAATGAACTGGAGATGTACCAAGGCTCAGAGATCCATTTCTAGATTTAATGAATCACTTGCATTGTATGTAAAGGTGGCATTCAGGAGTTATCAAAGAATAGAATGCTTGGGTTGGAAAGGACCTCCAAGATCGCAAGCTCCAACCCCCCTGCCACAGGCAGGGTGGTCAACTTCCATATCTAATAGTAGACCAGGCTGCCCAGGGCCCCCTCCAACCTGGCCTTGAACACCTCCAGGGATGAGGCATTCACTGGGTTGCTGTAAACCAATGAGGCTGAAGGGATAGAGGTTCTCTCTCAAGCATTTGTGGCAGCCACAGCTGTTGGAATATGTAGACTGCCCTCCTGACCCAATTCAAGCTCAACCAGCTTCATGCTCATCAGTAGTTCAGCTGAAATCCTGACTGCAAGAATGTTGTAGGCATAGCAGATTGTTTGCTGTACAGATTGATTCTACACCCAGAATCTGTCGTGGGTTAGTTGTTTTTCAAAGTGTTGGTTCCTGATAGTTTTAATTTTAAAAAGAAGGTTGGTATAGGCAGTAAATCTGCTATCAAACACTGTGCACACGCTTTTTGAGATGTCTTGGGAACTCTTTTAAGTGAAACACTACTTTCCTTCTCCCCTGTTGCATGCAAAAGTCTCATCTGGGCTCCAGTGCTGCTGCTCGGACTGGTGATTGAAGAGGTAAGAAAAGTCAGGGTGTTCTCTGTCTGCTTTCAGCCAGTTTTTGGGAAGGAGGAGCAGAAACATGCTCTCAGTGTAACAATTTGTCTCCAGACATTCTTTACCCTGCTTTTGCTTGGCTTTATCTCAACACTAGGTATCCAGTGCTTTTTTTTTTTTTTTTTTTTAAGTGGAATCATTGTACCGATCCTAGATTTTGTGAAGTCAAGCCATTCTTCAGTATTTTTGATTGCATTAAAAAAAAAAAGAAGACAAACCCAAACTTGATCGTTACGTTAGTAAAGATGAAACCAAAAAATGAGTACTGTGACCTGAAGCTGAGCACTGGAAGCAGCTCATACTTTGAGGTATCAGTTGCTTCTCTCGTTGGTTGAAGAATATTTTTCTGGTGGTGGTTCTGAATTCAGGAATTTCCTCTGGATGGCCAGAGTCCAGTTTGCTTCTGTAGTTACGGGCTGAGAATGAAAATAGTGAAAAGACTTTGTGAAAGCTAACAGGAATGTCAAAATGATGAAAAGCAGAATAGCCTGTTGTCCACAGTTTTGTGGCAAGTGGGGCTCCAGTTCACATCTGTATCATTTCAATGAGAAAAGCTTTTTCTACTTGCTAGCTTTTTCTTCATTGTTCAGAATGAAATGGGGTTTGCTCCTTATTACAAAACAGTCTGCCATCCTAATTGGTGCAGTGGTTGTGCAGGAGACCCAGGCTGGTTTTCATTTCACCTTTCAAACAGCAGAGCAACTCTGCTGTGGGCTTCTCACACAGGTTTATGATACAGCATGGAAACAGTTCAGTATGATGGTGTGCTCCTTACACCATCAGTCTTCAGAAATGAAACTCCATTATCTGTGCCTTTGGGTATCTCTGTCTTTTCCTAGACTCTGTAAGTAAGCTGCTGGGTTTTTGCCATTTCCATACTGTGAGCCAGATGTGCTTTGAAGAGAGATCTGTTCTATTTTTTTTCCCTCCTTTTCCCTTCCAAGGCTCTCCTATCATGTAACACAGGTTGTTGTTTGGCTGTGATGAAAACAGCAGGGGCTCTGAGGATCCGAATGCTTTCCCGTGCAATACTTGACCTGTTGTTTCTCTGAGGAAGCCAACAGAATTGAGCAACAGGAATGCTCCTGCTTGGCATCTGCCTCCAGATACCACAGGGAGGCAGGGGGAATGGCCATTCCCCAGGCAGAGGCACACTACTTTGAAACAAGCATTGCTAGTTGTCCATCCAGCCAGGTGGAAATGCCTGGAGAAGGGAGAAGAGAGCAAAACATAATGTGTAAAGCCAGAGCAAGACAGCACTGTTTCTAGGTCAGAGCAACGGTTCAGCTACTCCTGGATCCTGGTTCTGATGAGCTAACTAAGGAAGAATTAGTTAAAGGAAGGATTAAATTAGAAGAAATTAAAGAGTAAAGGGAATGAAAGAATTAAAGATTAAAGAGAATGTACAGTGATAATTTCCCTGCTTTCTGTAAATTATGGTTTCGAGCAAGAAGTGATAGTCTGTATTAATAGCCCCATTTTCATTTTGATGTGGGTATCTGGTCACTTACTGATGTCATGCTTTGCCATCCAAAATACTTTGTCATTGAGACATAGTTCAGCTTGTACCTGTTACCTCTGGTTTTGCTTGGTGGCATCTGGGTGTTGTATGAGAAGAGGCAGTAAAAAGCTGTTTGTAGCTCTTGTCACTTACATGGAACAGCTGTCTTATCTCCTGTCAGTTCTCTTGTTTCCAGGCTGAAGAGCTTTGTTCTTTTCTTTGTATAGAAGTGGTTCTGGACGTTATTAACCATTTCTGAACCTTGGCCAGGTCTTCTCTCCAAAAAGGATGTAGAGTGTTCAGAGCTGTACAAAGCATTCAAGATGTAGGCACATCCTGAGTTTATGTCGTGTCATAAGGGGATTGTTTGTTCTATTTTGTCCCTCTTTCCTAATAATTTCTGTGTTTCAGCTTGTCCCTGACCACTGCTGACTAGAACTGTTTGCTTTAACCCCACAGCCTCATTTTCATAGAATCACAGAATGGCTTAAGTTGGAGGGGACTTTAAAGATCACCTAGTTCCAACCCCTCTGCCATGGACAGGGCTGCCAGCCACTAGATCAGGCTGCCCAGGATCCCATCCAACCTGGCCTTAAATGCCTTCAGGGTTGGGACATCCACAGCCTCTCTGGGTAATCTGTTCCAGTGCCTTGGTACCCTCTGAGTGAAGATTTCTCACCTAAATCTCCTTTGTTTTAGTTTAAAGCCATTCCTTGCCCTATCACTGTCAGACCATATAAAGTCAGTTCTCCTCCTGTTTGTGAGCTCCCCTCCAGTGCTGGCAGGCCGCAGTGAGGTCTCCCCGTAGCCTTCTCTTCCCCGGGCTGAACACCCCCAGCTCCTCAGCCCGTCTCCATAGCAGAGGTGCTGCAGCCCTCACAGCATCTCCGTGCCCTCCTCTGCCCCACTCCATTTTGGATGGTAGTACAGACCCCAGAACACAATATAATGCAAGATGGGCATTGACGCAAGAGAGGTCAAATGCATAGTCACAGTAGCTGAACTTTCACTGGAAACGACTGGTTCTGTTCTTATTCTGTTCTTAAACTGTTCAGGAAAGCTTGCCTGGGGCCAGAATTCATTCTTCTGTTTGCATTATTTTCCCCAAACACAGTGTTCCTTCCTCTGCATTCAACAGTTTCCCTCTTTCATTCTGCTTGAACATCTAGGATGTATTTGCTTCTAGTATCTTTGTGTTAGTCTCAACATGCTAATTCTAGGACAGCTTTTAAGAAGTTCTTTGACTTATCTTTCTAACTTATCTTTGCCAGGCAAAACGGCGACATCAAATTTTTGACAAAGGGAGACAATAATGCTGTGGATGACAGAGGGCTGTACAAACGAGGGCAGCACTGGCTGGAGAAAAAGGACGTAGTAGGACGAGCAAGAGGGTAAGTGGAGTTGAGAAAGATGCAGCTTTTTGTATTGCTCTTCCCCAATGCTGCCTGTTAATCCCCCTCTCCCAATGAGCTCCCCACTGGGTTTTTGTGACCTGAATGGAAGTATTTCAAATGGTACCAGGGAGAGTTAAAAGACAAATGTAGTTGTGTTCTGAGCTTGGCCCAAGTGAAGGCATCAAGCTGTGAGCTGCATTGTGAGATTTTGATGCTGAACAGACACCAGTGCAAAGGCAGTGCCTGCTCAGGCATTAAGGCACGATGAGAATATGTGTCAAAATTATTTTTGCAAGTCACAGTCCTTCCAGGCAAGAGAGATCTGAATTTCTAATGTGGAACCCCTGTGTTCACAATAAGGCTCTTAAGTGGTGCAGGTTATCATCAGAGCTATTAGAGGCCTGAGAGCCTACTTGCTCAATAATTCCTTCCTTATGGGAGGAAACAACCACCAGTGTCCAATCTCCACAGCTTGCTTGACTCCTTTTTGTTGAAGTTGTCCTTCTTCCTGAGGACCTTCTTTCGATTAGACAGGACAGCTCAAGTACCCAAATGTAATTTAAGCTTCATCTTCCTGATAATCACACACACATACACAAAATCTCTCGATTAAGCATTTTTTTGTATTCCAAATCACGCATAAGAATGTCACTTTAATTAACCATGAAGAGTGTTAGAGTAATTGGAAATAGATAGCTGACTCTTGGCTCGTTTAGATTTTGCTCTTCTCTATAGCAGTTTCTAAGGACCCTATGAGCTATACTGTTTCCATGCTGATTTTGTCTATCCCAAGGCAGCTCCACAGCCATTCACTTATTTTGAATTAACTCTTTGCAAACTGGGTACTGATTGCCACTTCCTTCCTCTCAAGAGAATAAGCTGGTTTTACACCAGTGTTTTATTCCCAGTGGTTATGGCTAGAAACATGTTGGCACCTGGCTGGAGGTTCACTGTGCTGAATGAAGCTGGGGAAGCAGGATAAACAACAATCTGCAGGTGGTGGCAGTTTAATTTGGTTCAGTTCCCTTGCAGCATGCCATGCATAATGAGTGATTTGACTCTCCCTGTTTGATGCAGAGGAACGTGACTTTTGGACAGGCCTCTACTCCTTTTGCAGTGGCCCTCAGGAAAGCCAGCCTGGTTGAAGATGCAAGCACTGGCTGAAGCAGATCATCTTTTCCTAGCACTGCTGAATTAGGTCAGATTGCTGTAAGGCACCATTGGGCCTTGAGCGCCAAGAACCTATAAGGTTGATGCTGACATAGGAAAAAATCACCAGTTACACTAGTAGAGGTTGTGTGCATCCTTGAATACTCTTCTTTTATTTATTTATTTTTTTTAATAATAGAATTTTTATTCTTGTAGGTTTGTGCCCTACATTGGAATAGTGACCATCTTAATGAATGATTACCCAAAATTTAAGGTAAGAGTTCTTTCATTTTCATCCCCACCAGCTAAAATTACTTTATGAGAACTTTGCATGCTCAGGCAGAATTGTTTGCCCAGTACTTCTGATTCTGTTTCTGCATCTTTAGAGGTGAGTGTGCACTCTTTGTCTCTTCTGCTTTGTCTTACAGTATGCAGTCCTCTTTCTACTGGGTTTATTTGTGCTGGTCCATCGAGAGTAGCCTGTTGCACTGAAGTACATAGTGAAGATTCCATGGATTTTGTAGATTAATGTTTTAAGTAGAAGATGATGGTCCGATGTGCCGGGAGGAAGAAGAAAACGTACATTTCAAAGCTTCTTGCCAGTTTGGGTTTATTTTGTTTTTTACTGCCTAAGGGCGAATGTTTGTCACAGTATTTCCAATGGTTTGTCACATTTTAGCATTTTTAGTGAGGTTTTTTATATTAAAACTTTAAGCCAAACTGTTCAGTGTTTGTACTTTGAAGCTGAGCTTCCTCTCCAAGTGCCTATAGGACTGTGTCCTTTAAGTCTGTGCCTCCACTAGGCAAATGTGACCTCTCCCCGTTCTGACTGAACTGTCAAATGGTGATCTGTGGAGGTAATGTTTTTTTTCCAATTTAGAACTGGAATAAAGATTTTACATCTTGCCCAGCATCTTGCCACATTCTTCATTATTGCCCAGCCTCGTTGCCCAGTTTCCCTGGGGAGGGGGTAGGCTCTGTCATTGCAAGTGGACTCCTAGAGCCCAGTGAATTGACTTGTCCTCCCCTTACAGAGTAGCAGCTGCTCCTGCTCCTTTCTTTCTGAAGAGTAAGCAGTCCCGAGCTGTAGATCCATTCAATATTTCTGTGTTCCTGTAAATCACACTGAAATAATCTGCTTCAGGGCTGCAAGGTGTTTTGGGCAGAAGATGGCAAAGGATTACTTTGAACACAAACATTCAGTGCTGCCCTTTGATTTGAGATGGGAAACATCCCATCTCAACAGCTGTTTGGCATGGATGATTTAGTAGGATGCAATATTTTTTAGTATTTTTAGATTTTAGTAGGATGCAATTAGGTTTTTTTAGGTTGGCTTTTTTTTTTTTTTTTGCATTTTGGAAAAAGGATCAGTGTGCCCCTAGCTGGCCACATCTTACAGCTCATGTGGAAGCTACTTTTTGTCCAAACCCCCACTGCCTGGAGGTTTTAAAGAAGCCGCCTCTCATCACCACATGCAGCAGCTTGTTTTGTGAGCTTCTTGGTCTGGTTAGCAATCTTGTTTGCATAGAAGTGGTGTCAGAGGAGAATTTAAGACACAAGGCAGAAGCTCTGAAGTATCTGCCTCTACACACTTCTACTGATTGTTGATCATTGTAACTTACATCCATGCTGTCTGTGCTGACTAGTGGAAAGATTTTACCTCCCCTTCATTAGGGCAAATCTTCACAAGAACAGGCACTGGGATCATGGTGCCTTTGCTGCTTCCAGCTGAGGCTGCCTGACCCTTCTTGTGCAGTTGTCTCTGGTTGTGTTGCTTGGCAGCAGGAACCAAGCTGTCCCTGCCTGTGCTGTCCCAGGATTGACAGCTTTTCTCTTGATCTTGCAAAACCTACCAGCAGTTCAAGGCCACCATGTGTTACTTCAGTTGCATTTCACTGCATCCTCTATTCATGACTGCTCCCAAATTGCCCAGCAACAGGGATTATTCAAGATGATTACTGCTGTCACACACTCAGCTTGTGTAGGGGAAAGCAGTCCGGAATGGCAAAGACAAAACCTCATTTATTTTCTATTTTTCGCTTCTTGCATATTTACCTTGTTAGACTTGTGCAATCTACAGAGGTCCATGAAGCCATTTTGTTTAACACTCAGCAGCTGTGCTGACCTGCAGTATCTCTATCTGAACAGATCCAGTGGGTTTAACTGCATGGTTTGTTGCCTCAGTAGAATCATAGAATCCTTAGATCTATTCCCTTTGAGAAGGGACTTCTGAAGGCCATCTAATCCAACTCCCCTGCAATGCACAGGGATCCACCGCTAGATTAGGTTGCCTAGGGCCTGATCTGGCCTCACCTTGAAAGTCTCCAGGGATGGAGCGTCAACCACAACACTGGGCAACCTGTTGCAGTGCCTCATCACCCTCACTGTAAAAGATTTTTTCCTTATATCTAACCTAAATCTTCCCTCTTTGAGCTTGAAGCCATTTTCCCTTGTCCTATCACCACAGATCCTTCTAATGAGTCTCCCCTTCTTTCCTATAGCTCCCCTTTAGATACTGACAGGCTGCTATCAAGTCATTTTGCAGCCTCCTCTTCTCCAGTACTAAGGACTCTCCATCTGGATGCAGTGCTCCAGGTGAGGCCTCACAGTGCAGAGCAGAGGCACAAGATCACCTCCCTTGCCCTGCTGGCCATGCTTCTTTTGATACAGCCCAGGATATGGGTGGCTTTCTGGGCTGTTAGGGCTCAGTGCTGGCTCATGTCCAGCTGCCATCCATCAGGACCCTCAGGTCTTTATTGGCAGAGCTGCACTCAATCCTTTCATCCCCCAGCTTGTATTGTTAGTGAAGGTTGCCTCAACCCAGGTGCACACCTTGCACTTGGATTTGTTGAATCTCATGAGGTTCTCCCAAGCCCACTGCTCAGCCTGTCTAAATCCCTCTGGATGGCATCCTGTCCCTCTGGTGTGTCATCACACCCCACAGCTTGGTGTCATCAGCAAACTTGCTGAGGGTGCACTCGGACCTCCCTGTCAATGTTACTGATGAAGATATTAGAGTATCAGTACCAGCTCTGACCCCTGGGGGACACCACTCACCACCAATCTCCATCCAGACATTGAACCATTGACCACCACTATTTGGACTTGATCCTGCAGCCACTGAACAGTCCACACATCAAATCCATATCTTTCCAATTTGGAGAGAAGGATGTTGTGAGGTGAAGCAAAAAAAAAAGTATTTGCAAACAGTCTACAAACGGGTCCAGCTGCTAACAATGAGCCTTGGGCCTGCAGCTCTTTGAGTAATCCTAAATTAGTAAGACAAAACAGTAATAAAAATTTGTATCTGCCATTTGCCACTTTTGTTGGAGCAGTTGAGAAGAGAATTTGGATACAGTTTGTCAAAATATTGGAGTTTTGTCAAAACCAAACCCAAGCAGCAGTGAGATAGCAGAAAATCTCTTTGAGGGCTACTACCAACATGGAGCACTTTCCCAAGGACATGGAGCAACATTTCTGTATTTGCAAGTAGCACAGATGCTGGATCTGCGTTCCCTGCTTTGCCTTTGTCTTGAATTGTTCTGTGCATTAAATTTATTTTAACTTGGGATCATATAAGGGGCTGAGTCAAGCTCTTCTGAAGTCTGCTAATCAACACCTCTCAGTGAAAACTTGCTGGAATTGCTGCAGGTGCTGTTCTCTGGGTTCTCTCACTTTCACACTTCGCAGTAGCAGTTGTGTTACTGTCACTGAGTTAATTAAAATTCAAAAAAAAAGGGGGGGG